TTTGAATATTTATATTGAGTAGTTATTTTATTTTGTTAGAAATAGAGGTCGAAGACATATAATGGGGCTCTATACAGGTATCGTGTTGAGATATTGCAACTGGGAGGTTTGGATGTGATTAATATTTGAAGACTAGAGCTAGTCTGAGCCCCGGAGTTGGGATACCTTTGGTCCATATTTTTTTAAGCATAGTATAATATCATACAAAAGCATTCGCTTTTGTTTTTGTTTAATAATAATAACTTATGGTCGTGTGCTTTCGTGAAATGATTCATTCCGAGCTTGACATTATAATTTATTATATAAACATCGTAATTTAATATTTATTAGTTACCTAGTTGTTTATTTAATTTCCATACCGTGAAACTTTTATGGAAATTGAATAACCAAATAATTAGCCACTAAATAATGTTTAAGAGACCATATTATGATTTCCCTCATCTTGTGTTTCATGTGTTATTTTTTATGTATGTATATAGTGTTATTTCAGTCATCTATTTTACTTATTATGTCATGTAAATACAGATTGTAAATTTTCTAAAAAAAAAAAAATAAGAGACCATAGGTATTATTATTATATATAGCTCACCATTGATTCATTATAAATGTTGAGTTATTGTTGTTGTTATTATATAATATATGTAACCCAGAACGACAGAACTTATATACTATAGTGTCGTAAGCTGCCATTAATCTAAAAGTGTCAAAAAACTTACTTCCTTGCAAGGTTCACTCAAAATCTAATAAGTATTTAGATTCATATATACGGTCTGAGAGCTGAATGTAAAAAACTCGGTTCTTATATTATATATATATATACGTATTATTGTTAATTGCGTCTTGTACTGTAGTACCTATAATAAATCATAAATATTATATATATAATAATATATAACAATAATCGCTCGTATTGCGTTAGGTATAATATACCAGCTAATACCTAGGTATTGCGATAAACAATAATGCATATAATAATTATATTTGTATATGTATACATACAACGACCTAATAGGTACAAATCATACACTGTTTATCGATAATTTGTATTTTTCGTTTTAACATGGTCGTTTCTTTAATTGTTTTGTTCTCGGTTACGACCAGCCAGAAGAGAATAGAGCGTTACGGCTGAAAAGCGACCGATACGGTTTAATGTCTGCCGACGATCCGTCGGTCGACAGGCACGTAGGTAGCTCGCCAAGTTCTCTGACCGACGGCCAGGCAGAACTCTTTACGCCTTTTTCGACATTTAGCAGTTACCTGGACGAGGTTGCGTACGTGGCCGCCGGTGGTCTCAGACACGGCGGCGACGATGCGTATTCATGTAACAAATTCAATCAATTGGCGAGCGATAGTCTGCGTAGCAATCGGCCGGTGCCTGACACTAGAAACGCAAAGTGAGATCGACTATATTATTATACATACCTATATATTATCTTCCTAAAACCTATGAAATAGCTGTTAAAAAAAATTTAAATGTGTATATCACAAAAAAAAGATCTGACAATTTTACATTTAAATGTGCAGTCAGATCTCCGTTATATATTTGGTACACCCTGAATCAGGCCCTATTATTTGTAAAATTTATTACAATCGTTAATTTACTACAAAGCTGTAAAGATGAAAAACATCAAAAAACGCCCAATAAAATTTGTTTTAATTTTTTTTAATGTTCTGTAACTTTTTAATAAGTTATTACTTATATATTTTATTAATTACGATAATTATAAATACATAATACACATAGTGTAGTGATATATTATCAATCATTTTATTATATTATCAATATACCTACGCAAGATATTTATAAATTATAAATTATTATTATCAATCGCGCACCGTCACTACAACTTACCGCTCCCGTTTTTTTTTTCGTTCCATCCTACCAATCGATCCAATAATGCTATAATATTTCTGAAAACTGATCTGAATTCGTTAGAATGTCTTTTAGAGATCGGTCAGTCCACATTTTAAGATTTCAGCTTTAAATTTCGAATAAATCCAGAATAATCAACGTTTGAAAATTCCGAAATTTCAAAAGATTCAAGCTAAATTTTTAGAGGTAGGGGGGTGAAATTGGGAAAAGTGGACTGACCAATCTCAAGTAGATATAATAAGGAATTCAAATCTGTTTCAAAAAGTATTATCACATTACTAGATCGATCAGTATTATGGAATGAAAATCGGATGTTTTGGCTAAAATTACTGTTTAATAATATATATTATAATTATATATATAATTATATATTATTATTTAATAATATATATATTTATATTATAAAAAATAGTATTTCATCAGGAACGTTTATTTTCCGCCTAGCCCCACATCGAGCCATAAAAAACTTTGTTTCAACAATTCTTAAAAATCGGGTAAGGGGAAGTCGCTCTGCTGTACCTACAGTAGGTTACAAATGGGCCACTGTAATGGATGGTGTTAAATTTGAATTCAATGATAATATAAATCATTGTATACGAAAAACATTTCTGAGCGGTGACGGTTTTGTCAGTGTATATATTTTATATTATATATATAATGTTACTATAGCTGATGCTGATCACATCGTACATTACCCTGGTTAACGGTTGAACTAGTTTAGAAATTACATCCCCGATGGTCGTTAGCGCTAACCGCTACTGACACACGTAGGATTGGTAAAGGTGCGTCTCCACCAAAACGCACGGCCGCACGAACGGTTTCGTACGTTCGAACGGACGACCATATGAGTTGGTCGAGACAAGTTCCGTTTGCGTACGAACACCATTCGTACGTGTGCGGACCTGTTCGCTCTGGTAGCGGTACATCAAAAGAAATTTGATTTTGGTTGGGACGCCGTTCGATCAAATGTTGTCGTGCGTTCACATTTTGGCATTACTGCGTCAACTGTGAAGTGTTTATTAAGTTTTTTAAGTGCTATTGTAAACTATTATTATTTTAATATTTTGATAATTTATAAGTACTTAGTTGTTTTTGCATACATGGAGTGGCCAGATTGCAAATCTTTGGAACTCATACAGTTGTATAGAGAAAAAAGAAGTCTCTGGGATCCACTGGATAAAAATTATAAAAATAATAAAATAAAATTCGACGATTGGCAAGAAATTGCCACTAAGTTGAACACAGATGTGACCAATATTTAAAAAAAAAAATAGAAAGCCTTCAAGGGTCTTATCGTCGAGAACGACTAAGGCAAGACTCTTCTCGTCGTTCAGGAGCTGGCACAGATGATTTGTATAAATCAAAATGGTTTGCATTCAATGAAATGCAATTCTTGAAGGAGAAATATAAACCCAGGCAAACAAAAGATTCGATGAATATATTAAATCAAATAGTAAGTATCGACACAGGCTGAATATCAGTATATCGTGTACCCATGTCTATATAGTATTTTGTGATTAGTATTTTCTTACAAATTTTTATTTTAATTTTTAATATATTTAAACAACCATCAATCAAAATATAAAATAAATCAAATATTATTTAACATAAAAGGTTACACAAGTTTAAACGAAAAAATCTTTACTCGTAGTACTAATAAGTAAAATTCCTGATGATTTTGATAAAATATAAAACATACTATTCAATAAACAATTACTCATAATTATCTTGCCACGGTAAACGTTCTGAAAAAAAATACTTGGCGAATTCGAGTCTTATCTCCTCAGCTGTTCTTGTGGGTTTTCGTCCGACTCTTGGTAATGGATTAAAAGATCCCATATCAATATTATCTTGCCTCCAAGTACCTTCATTAATATTTCCATCTTTTTCCTCATCATATGTAAAACCACTGTTTGAAATTTCTTTTTTTCTTAAAAAATTATGTAAATAAATACACGCGAAAACTACTGTCTCCGCGTTATTAGGTTCTAACAACATCGGTTTTCGTAAAACCCTAAATACTGCTGATAAAATTCCGAAAACGTTTTCCACGACTCGGCGGGCTCTCGAAAGCCGATAATTAAATGATCTCTGAACTGAGCCTTTTTGTTGAATACCACTGAAAGGTTTCATAATATTATCTTTTAGTTGAAATGCCTCGTCAGCGACAAAAACATATGGCAGTTTATTTTCCACATTTTTCAAATATGTTGGTTCGGGTATCATCAAAGTCTTATTTTCTAAAGACTTATAAAATTCTGTGTTTTTAAGAACTCCACCATCTGAAATTCTCCCTTGACATCCAACATCGGCAAATAAAAAATTATAATCGGCATCCACGACAGCCATCAACACAATACTAAATGTAGACTTATAGTTGAAGTATTGGCTTTCACTGTTTATGGGAGCTTGTAATTGTATATGTTTTCCATCTATAGCACCGAGACAATGTGGAAAATTCCATTTTTCTTCGTATCCTTTTGCAACAGCTAACCATTCTTCTTGAGATTGTGGAATCTATAAATGATTAAAAGTAAAAAATAAAAATTCAAGTGACCAACTATTAATAGTGTAATGACTAATGAATGTGTTAAATTTTAATTCAATGACATAAAATTATTGTATCTAGGCACAAAGAAAAATGATTTTGAGCGTAACGGTCGGTCAATCAGATAGCTTATAAAGTACTTGAGTAAAAGTATTTAAGGGGGCTCCAGCGTATCATGTTTTAAGGAGTAATATTTAGGCAATTCACATAACATGAATATTTGGGCTATGTCTATGTGTGAGTAGTAAATGAACATTAGTGTGGGTAATCCATTATCGCGTGCCACGGAATATCGGTCGACAGTATTACGAATTCCCAGAACTACGTATAATTAAAATGCTATAAAAATGACTAAATATGTTCAATTGCGCGCGTTATCTTTTACTATTATATTACCTACTCACTACTCGGCTTTCGCAGCAATTCGCAAAAATGTACAATTACATTATACTACACAAGAGAGTCACTTTGTTATTTCATAGTTATGATTATGAACTATAACCAAAAAATGATTTGACAATCAAATGAATAATAAAAACATTAATAAAAAAGGGTTTCAATTTCTCGTAAATATTATATTTATTCATTCAATATTAGACTGTCTTTTAAAACTTCAGATAAAAAGTATTCTGTAAAAAACGTTGTTAGTTGAGACTTCATATTTTTATCCCAGATATCATCGTCTTTTTCAATTTTTTCATACATCAAACCTGTACACAAATAACTTATTTATTATACATTTTAATTAGAATCCTATTAGTTCAAAACAAAATAATATTACCTTTAGGTGTCCAGATACAAAAATAACAAAACATTTTGCGTGTTATGTGCAGTTGACCCTGGACTTGATAAAAGTAACCATCATTTCTTTTTAGATGTAGTTGACCGTTTTCAATAGTGCAACTTTTTATTTTTTTCATTAAAATTCCTTCTTCTGGAGTAAAACTCTTAGCAGACGCTGGACATTTAATTTCGACGAGACTATCATTGTCTATTAGTCCATCGGGAGACGCCGCTAAAAATTGTAAATTTGCATCTACAAATAAACCTGCACTTTCAATTTTTTTTCCAATTATTTTCTCCAACTCTTCTTTAGCCATATCTTCGTGTGCAATTCCATATCGCGTAGCAGCATTACCACTAAAAGTCCCATACAACATTTCTTTTATTACCTTTTCGCGAGACGTGGTTTGGCGCATTTTACATAATTTACCAAACACTGAAGCAGTGAGTCTAAAAAATAAAAATTTATACATTTTAAAACATTCATATAAACTTATTATTTTGTTAAAAAATATGAAATATCTACCTTTTTTTTCGCTCCAAATGCCATTCATCACATTGATGTTGTCTTTTAGTATTCATTTCTAAGTCTATAATTTGTTTTTCAGTTAATTTTAAATTTTCCATGAACTTATTTTTTAACTGTTGGATTTCAACATCAGTAAGTTCAGAAAGTGGGTCATGAGACACATTTCCATAGTTTTCATCTGGTCCTCCTATTGTTGTACATTTTTTTCTATTTTTTGGTCCACTAAAAAGACATCGCCGTCGTTTTCGAGTTTCAGCTCTTACTATATGCCTTTTAATATACATTTTTGTAAATATCCCTGGGCTTTTATTTGTTACATGTTTGTTAAACAACGAAAGACGGTTTGGTCCTGAATTATATGCAGTGACTGCTGCGCTACACCTTAGTTGATAAGACCCATTCAATGAAAAATTTACACGTTTCCCTCCGACATATTTGGTTAAAATTGAATTATAAAGTTCAGCTGAATTGTTATTATATCCATACATTAAACTTTCGGTATGATAAGTTAGAAGATTTCGGGCTCTACAAATATCATCCCAAACACCAAAGATTTTTAAATCGGGTACGATGTTTTCTTCTCCTAAAACATATATAATACAAGCGTCAAGAAAACCAAACAATAATTTAAGAAAAAACTGAGAATTTGTTTTTTTATTGTAACTCTAAAAATATAACCGTAGATGATGCATCACAGAATGATTATATTAGCAATTTATATGCTCCATAATATTTTCAAAATACTGCGATTATTTTTTAACTATTTATAGGTCAAAAATCTTGAAAATGTATTATAACCGTCCTCATAAGTTTTTGTTATTGAACATTAAAAAAAAGCCGAGCATACGTCTACAATAATTTTTTATGAGCGCCTAAAGTTAAAATGTTGATAAAATTTATCAATATCACGAAAATTGGCATTTTTTCAGGTTAGAATATACATATAACAATTGTTCTATTTATATCTAAGTTTTAAAAATATATTAAAAAATTCCCCTTAAATTTTCCTACATTTAACAAAATATAATACAAATAAGTTTACTGGAAAGTCAAGTTAATTTTTACGTGCGTTTGAAGTTACATATTAGGTATATATTCACTCGTAAATTAACCAATTCTTATACAACGATTTTCTTATTTTGTCGTTATTCAAAAACTATTAACTTGAAATTTATATATTATGAGTTATTTATAGTTATTTTTAAGTTTTTATTCTATAAATCATAAATGTCATACAAACATACAGTACACAAATAAAAATTACATACCTTTCTTTTGACCCTCACAAAAATACGATTGGCATTTAGTGTGGTCTCCGAAAACATGATTAGGTCCGTTTGTTATATCTGCTTTGAGTAAAGTCAGTGTTGCTTCATATGTGCGGTCTGTTTGTTCAAGTCTTCTATATTTTATCGCTTCAGTGACAGCATACCGAAGCCTAAGTAAGCGATCATGAACGACTTTCCGATAACAACCAGGTATGACATCTCCTTTATCATTTTTTCTTTTCCCACTTATATCTCTAAGACGATTTATGTAGTTACGTAGTAAATGATTAGTACATTCTACTTTTTTTATAACAACATTTGTACCATATGGCTTTTCCAATCTTAAACGTTTCATAATACTACTGTCACCATCTCCTTTTTTATAATATATTCAATAATACAACGTATAAGTAAATGAAAATATTTATGTAAAAAATAAAGTCACTTACCTATTAACTGAGAATATATAACATTATGCATATGCAGACTTTGCTTGAACCCTTCAACAATAATATCGGCTTCCATCGCGGTTGAGGCCGAATTCCAATTTTTGAAACATACATGATCCTGTGCTATTTCGTCACGGTTTTCAGCTAATTGACATATACAACAATATTTGTTTCTGACTCCACAAAATATAACTTTTTTTGTTTTTGCACCAATAATACAAGCCTATAAATATCACGTAACATAAATAATTATTCATATTATACCTATATATTATATTATATTATACTACTATTGTATTTATTATATAATATAGTATAATAATATAATAATATAATATAATTATTATTATAGATACATGTTTTATATTATTAGAATATATTTAATTTTATATGCTTAGGAACTATGTTTTTTATAATATGTAGTTTATTTTTTACTTACAACTCCGGACAGTGCGTTGTATTTAGTTTTGTAAGATCGCTTACTCCAAGCGCCATCAGCGACTACTGCAATTTTAGGTCGTCCTAAATGGTCAACTTGACCATTTTCTAGCGCTAATCGTTTTTCTTCTTGTCCCGCTAACTGCATTTCATTCAATGCTATGGTGTTCATATGCATATACATAGTATTATGAAAATCTTGATACGTTCTATTACACATATTGGGCATATTTAATGTCGCAGCAAATTCTTCTAATTGACTATAGCCTTGTCCGGTATTAACTGTAGCGCTTACTATAGCCATATTAATATTAACATTTTTACTGTTACAGATCTCATCCTCATTATTTATATTTTCTGTAATGCCACATACTTTGCATTTAAATTGAAAAGTGCTGAGATATCCCTTACGTATTTCGTTTAAAAACTCCAAATCACGGAAAGTACAATTAAAACCTTGATGGTGAATTGATTGCAGTGAACGAAATAGATGTTTGATATCTACAATTCGTCTACCTTCAAGTGTTTCCCACGGATTAACTTTTACGCTGATTTCATTTTGTGAAGGGTATGAAAAAGAGTTTTCTAAATTTCTTGAGACATTCATCGGGTTTTTTTTTTTTGGTGTGGCTAGAATATTTGTAGTAATCAATGTATTTTCTGGGGTTGTGGAACAAAATATAGTCGAAGTAGATGGTCCCACAATTATTTCATTTGTCTATAGTTTAAAAAGAAGTGTATGCTATATATATATATATATATTTTTAAATTAAATGTTTAAAACAATATAAATAATATTTAAAACGCGTGCAAATTTTTTTTTTGATTAAAATAGACAAATAACATATGAGGAATCTTGTATTACATTCTCAAATCTTATATTTAAAAAGAAATTTTTTTATGAATTTCTAACTCAAAATAATTTGCAAATTTTCGTCATTTTTACGTAATTTGTCAAAATTTAAACTTTAAATGCTTATAAAAAATTGTGACAATTAATTTTTTTTCTGCCTTTGAAACATAATATTAGGAGCCTTCTATTAAATTTTCAAGATTTTATATCCAACAAGCAAAATTTTATTGTTATTTATAGAAAAAAAAATATTTTGAAAATGTTATGGTGTGAAGACAATGCTTATATAAATATTCAATCAAAATTTCATGTATCTACTGTAATTTCTTTTAGAGTTACACCAAAAGCCAAAATCGATTTTGTCAAAAATCAGTTTTGCATAAAATTAACCGTTTTTTTTTTAATTTTTCATTTATTTTTCACCACGTTTTTGAAAATTATTGGGAAACAGCATTGTAAAATCAATACATTAATCGCTCCGCTCAGAATCTAAAAAAATATTTACCAGAACTTTAATTTTTTACAAGCATTTGAAGTTCAAATTATATAAAATGTGTGCTTTTGTGTGCTATAGAAAATTTAACTAAAGCTTATTTATAAATATTTCATATCGGAATCAGAATCTTTTTTTTATTGTATTTGCGCGTAAATCCACTGAAGTTTTTAATGTACCTTATAACGTTATTCGTGTAAACAGATAGGTACAAAAAAAAAAATTCAATCTATTCAATATATTATAAATACCTACCTCATCATTATTTTCATGATCTTCGAGTTTTTTCCGTTTCAAGTTAGCCAAATTTGGTTTTTTCCGTGGTGCACATAGCTTGAGACGCGCTTTTTTACCAAAACGCCAGTCTTCATTCATTTTACAATTTAAAAAAGTAATCACGGACAAGAAAAACAAATTGAACTTAACCGGCTGAATAGTTGAACACAACTAATCATATTTTGTTTTGTAGTACCTAACATAAATTTACTTATTACCATATATTTTATACTTTAGAATTATTATATAATATATTATTTCATTTCCGTAGTCATTAGCTCTAATTGATTTATAATCGTTCGGAATGAGGCTACTATTGTTATGGCTACTAAGATTCTTAGAAATGTTCTAACGCCCATACGCGCATGCACAAGTCAATGAACACGAAGTAAATACTTTTGCTCCTGCTCTAGGACAGCAATTTTATGCAGACAGTACCAAAAGAGAAATGAAAATTCAACTTGTTTTGATCGACTTATATTAATTTTGAAAAGATGATTATATTCGTTAGTCTATTTTCTAGGTTTGCTCGGAAGTAGATTTACGATTTTATTTTTAGTTAATATAATATAATGCATAATAAGTTTACATTTTTCTCAAAATAAACTTATACTTAACTTAGTTGTAGATAGGGACGAAATTAAATATATAAAAATCCACTTCCGAGTAAACTTAGAAAAGAGGAATGCAAATCGAATTCCGTTTTCAAAATTGAAATCGAGCTACTGGAAGTATGTTTAATTTTCTTTCGCTTATTGGTCTAAATGTATGGAAAAAATGTAGTGCTGCAGCCCCCTTAAATACTTTTTAAATACTCAAATATGTATTTTAAATAATTCTGAAATAAGTACTTGTACAAAGTATTTTTATTTTAAATTTTAATTTTAATAATTTTAATATACTTGAGAAGTTTCTTGTACTCAAAAATAATATTTTTAAATTACAACAAAATAACTAGGTAAAATTGTTGTTCTAGGTTATTTATGATATTAATTTCGTCCGAATTTTAACTTAAAATAAATATAAAAGAAAATATTATTTTAATTTTTTGGTTACAGTATAAACTACTTACGTAGAACCTTGTTTTAAATTTTTTATTCTTAGTTCTAAAATAGAACATATTTTTATAAATTTTTAAGTGTAAAATAATTTGTAAATTTTGAATATTATAAATTTTGACGACATTTTAACTACTATAAATGGTTATATAATTGTGAAATTTTCAAGTATCCAAGTTAATTCGTTTTTTAATTACAACAAAATAAGAAAATCGTTACATAAGAAATCGAGTGAATATAAAATTTTGTAAAAATATGAATTTCAAACGCTCATAAAAATTTAAATTGAATTTCTTGTAGATATATTTTTTTTTTTTTTTTTTTGATAAAGATAGACAAATGTATGAGGAATCTTGTATTACATTTTCAAATCTTAAATATAAGAAGAGACATTTTTATAAATTTCCAACTCAAAATAATTTTCAAATGTCCGTAGTTTTTACGAATTTTATAAAAATCGAACTTCAGATGCTCATAAAATATTATTATGGGTTACTTTTTTCTCGAAATTAATTTAATAACAACTATTAGGTAATAATAAAAAATTTTATATGAATGTAATATTAGCTCAACATGAGTCAAAATATTTTGAATATTTTATGGTGTATAGAAAATTCGAATAGAAGCATTCAGTGAAAAGCATTATTTCGACTACTAAAAAAGTTGAAGCTTTGCTTAGAATCTAACATTATTACTTATAATTAATTGTACCTATACGATTAAACAACAGTTATTGCCATATTGATGCGTATATAAAAATACTTATAGGTGGATACTTTCTTTTTAGTTACCTATACTAGTTTCTCAATCGATATGTATTTTAATTAGGTACACTTTAATATTTTACATTATAAAACCAATACCTATATTATTTTAATTTTTGAAGATTTACTAATATAATTGTAATCGTATAAGTTATTGTTTAATAACATAATATGTCAGAAAATTCCACCATAAAATATTGTTATATTAATGGTATTTACAGAAAATGGAAAACATAAATTATTTGACTGAAATAAACGTTTATACCATAAAAATTATGCTAAAAATTAAATTTTGAATTATTTAAAAAGTAAATTTATTTCAAATGTTAAATTTTCAGTACAAAAAAAATTAAAAATCAATAATTGAACGCTTGTAACGTAAATTGCAATAAAATATATAAAAAAACAATTTAAAGTATTGATTGGAACAAAAGTTATTTAATTTGTTAGATCATTCTGTTATGCATGGTATAATATATTATTTTAGGTTGATAATACTGAAGAGCCATCGAATTCATCAGAATATGATTTAGATATTACTACGGTATCAACAGAAGAACATGTTATGCATGAAAATGAATACGACAAACAAAATCCACCCGTTGAAAAAAAAAACGCACATGTGACGTTGACGATGCAGATAGGTATTAAAATAAATGAGGCCTTTGCGATCATGAAGTCTATTAGTGAAAAGAAACCTGCAGTAAGTTATGAATATTCACCATTTGCCACATATATTGATAGCAAATTAAAAATATTCTCTCCACATGAAAAGGCAATATTAGAAAACCAGATACAAAATCTAATTTTCAATGCAGAAATGAAACATTATAGTCAGCCTGTTCATACTCAGCCAGGTCATACCCAGCCTTTTTATTTTCAAAATGCTCATACACAAATACCGTCTAATTACAATCCCCATAACAGTCTTAATGTACAATACTCTCACCCAAATATGCCGTTAACACATCTTGCGGAGAACCTTCACAACACCTCGAATCAACAGCAACTTCAGTCATTATTTACACATCCTGAACAAAATTCTCTGTGTGATACAGACGCTTTTCAACCATTACCGCCTACAAGTATGAATTAATTAAAAAGTATTTTTCCTAATAAATATTTAGTTTACAATTATAGGTATGAGCGGTGAACCTACCTATTATTATTTGAATTTACCGAGTTGGTTTTATTTTTTAGATTCTGAGCGGAGCGATGAATGTATTGGTTTTACAATGATGTGTGTTTTTATATTTTTATATTTTTATATTTTTATATTTTTGTGTCTGTCATCACGTTTTGGGACAGTAAAAGTGCTTCGATTTTCTTCAATAGTACCTTTTCTGATAGGAAAGTGAATCTAGTTGGTACTTTGGGGGGTCAAAAGTATAAATTTCCCAGTAGTTTTCACAAGCGCCGGGAAAAACAACATAAAAATTAAGGAAAAACGGGAATTTTTACGCTAAATTGGTTTTCCAAAAAATCGATTTTGGTTATTGGTGTAACTCTAAAACAAATGAACGTATATACATGAAATTTTCACTGGTTGTTTATATTTGCATTTTCTATACACGATAACATTTTCAAAATATTTTGATTTATTTTGAACTGTTTAGGGACATTTTCATTTTTCATTTTTTTTTAGTTTTTTTTCTAGAAATATCAATACAATTTTATTTGTTGGTTGCGAAAGCTTGAAAATTTAATAGAATGCTCCTAATATGTTGTTTTAAAGGCAGATGAAAAATATTAAAAATCCTTAGTCACAATTTTTTTTATAAGCATTTAAAGTTCAAAAATTTACAAAATATGGAAAAATCACGAAAATTAGCAAATTATTTTGAGTTAAGAATTCGTAAAATTTTTTCTTTTTAAATCTAAGATTTGAAAATGAAACACAAGATTCCTTATAAGATTATCTACCTTTATCAATAAAAAAATCTCTACCGGACAGTCAAGTTAAATTTTTATGAGCGTTTGAAATTAAAATTTTTACAACATTGGATATTCACTCGATTTCTCATGTAGCGACTTCCTTATTTTGTTGTAATTCAAAAACGAATAACTGTAGATACATGAAAATTTCACTGAATGTTTAAATTAGCATTTTCTATACACCATACAATTTTGAAAATATTTTGACTCTTTTTGAGCTGTTTAGGGACATTTTCAGCTTTCAATTTTTTTAGTTTTTTTTTTATAATTGTCAATAAAATTTTATTTGGTGGGCCAAAAAGTCTGAAAATTTAATACAAGCTTTCTTATATATTGTTACAATATCAGTTGAAAAATTTTAAAAATACATAAGCACGATTTTTTTTTATAAGCATTTAAAGTTGGAATTTTGACAAAATTTATCAAAATCTCGAAAATAATCAATCGTTGGAATTAAAAAATTATAAAATGTTCAGTTTTTATAACTAAGAGTTGAAAATTTAAAACAAAGATTCTCTTAAATAATTCATACTGTAACCAAAAAATCTAAAAAATATATAAACACACTTATTTTTTACAGACATTTTAATTTCAAATTTGGACGAAATTACATATTAAAAAACCTAGAATAACTATTTTAGTTATTTTGTTGTGATTGAATAATATTATTCGTGGGTACTTGAAACTTCTAAAGTGTACTATTATATATCTATGATAGTATCACGGTTTTTGTTGATGTATAACGCGTTATAAGTATCTAATGGATATTGTGATATGATTAATTTGGAATTTATTATAGGTACTATTATAGGTCAATTTTTTGTTTAATACCATAGAAATGTATATAATATGTCTTATACTAGACTGACATACCGTCTCCGCTCAGAATCGTTTTTCTTATACAATGATATTAGATCATTGAATTCAAATTTAATACCATCCATTATACAGTGACCCACTTGTAACCTACTGTACAGCAGAGCGACACCCACTTGCCCACCTTTTTTATTTATATCTTTGTGTCTGTCATCACGTTTTAGGACAGTAAAAGTGCTTGGATTTTCTTCATCAGTAGCTTTTCTGATAGGAAAGTGAATCTAGTTGGTACTTTGGGGGGTCAAAAGTATAAATTTCACAGTAGTTTTCACAAGCGCCGGGAAAAACAACATAAAAATTAAGGAAAAACGGGAATTTTTACGCAAAATTGGTTTTCCAAAAAATCGATTTTGGTTATTGGTGTAACTCTAAAACAAATGAACGTATATACATGAAATTTTCACTGGTTGTTTATATTTGCATTTTCTATACACGATAACATTTTCAAAATATTTTGATTTATTTTGTACTGTTTAGGGACATTTTCATTTTCCATTTTTTTTTAGTTTTTTTTCTAAAAATATCAATTAAATTTTATTTATTGGTTGCGAAAGCTTGAAAATTTAATAGAATTCTCCTAATATGTTGTTTCAAAGGCAGATGAAAAATATTAAAAATCCTTAGTCACAATTTTTTTTTATAAGCATTTAAAGTTCAAAAATTGACAAAATATGGAAAAATCACGAAAATTAGCAAATTATTTTGAGTTAAGAATTCGTAAAAATTTTTCTTTTTAAATCTAAGATTTGAAAATGAAACACAAGATTCCTTATAAGATTATCTACCTTTATCAATAAAAAAATCTCTACCGGACAGTCAAATTAAATTTTTATGAGCGTTTGAAATTCAAATTTTTACAACATTGGATTTTCACTCGATTTCTCATGTAGTGATTTCCTTATTTTGTTGTAATTCAAAAACGAATAACTGTAGATACATGAAAATTTCACTGAATGTTTATATTAGCATTTCCTATACACCATACAATTTTGAAAATATTTTGACTCTTTTTGAGCTATTTACGGATATTTTCATTTTTCAATTTTTTTAGTTTTTTTTTCTATGAATATCAATAAAGTTTTATCTGTTGGGCAAAAAAGTGTAAAAATTTAATACAAGGCTCCTGATATATTGTTACAATATAAGTTGAAAAATATTAAAAATACATAGGCACAGTTTTTTTTTTATAAGCATTTTAAGTTGGAATTTTGACAGAATTTTTCAAAATCTCGAAAATTATTAATCATCGTAATTAATAAATTATAAAATGTTCAGTTTTTATAGCTAAGGATTGAAAATTTAAAACAAGATTCCACGTAAGTAGTTAATTCTCTTACCAAAAAATCTAAAAAATATACAATCACAGTTTATTTTTACAGACATTTTAATTTCAAATTTAGACAAAATTTCATATTTAAACCAAGAATTACGATTTTAGTTATTTTGTTGTGATTGTATAATATTATTCGTGGGAACTTGAAATTTCTAAAGTAATCTACTATATATATCTATGATAGTATCAGGGTTTGTTGTTGGTGTATAACGCGTTATAAGTACCTAATGGATATTGTGATATGATTAATTTGGAATTCATTATAGGTCAATTTTTTTTAATACCATAGATATGTATATAATATGTCTTATACTTAGAAGGACATACCGTCTCCGCTCAGAATCGTTTTTCTTATACAATGATATTATATCATTGAATTCAAATTTAATACCATCCATTATACAATGACCCACTTGTAACCTACTGTACAGCAGAGCGACACCCACTTGCCTACCTTTTTTTTTGTTACATTTAATAATTTTATATTTCATAAGGCCAGTGGCGTAGAAAGACTCGTTAGCGCCCCTGGCAAACCTAGGAAAATGCGCCTTTTTGGCGATTAAAAAATTGACGAAAATACGGAATGATATTTTTTAACATTTATTTTTTATATATATAATTAGGTAGGTAATACAATATTATTTACCTAACTATCAGTTATTATGATAATGTAAATTTCAAACTTTAAAAATTTTCTTTTCTTGCTTTAAGGCTAGAGAATTCATTGATGATTTCGTCATATGAAATTTGTTTAGCAAATTCATGTTCTATGGATAAAATTGCCATGCTTGTTAGTCTCTCTTGTCCAATAGTTGATCTTAAGGGGATTGGAAGCGGTGATTTTCTGTCTTTGTCTAACACACGTGCAACATAGGATTATAGGGGTCGCTGTAAATTGCGGCCCATTTTTAATTTTTTATGTAAATTGCGGCCTGGGCATATTTTGTACATACGTAAACTGTGGCCTGGCTATATTTTATAAATACGTAAATTGCGGCCTGAGTATATTTTATAAATACGTAAATTGCGGCCAGGTTATAATTTGTATTAGGTACCTACCCAAATATTTTTTATTTACAAGTAATAATTACGTCTAAGCCTCTTTTTGCAAAATCAATATTTTCCTTCTCATTTTTCAGACTTAGGACATAGGTATCATCAATGGCTTTTCTTTTTAAACTGTTATTCAGTTTCTGACTGCTGTCGATTTATTATTTGTTCCGAAATTTTAAAATGACTTTTGTGATCTATTTAAAACTATCTATACAAATATTATTATCATTAAATTTCAAAAAATACTTACACGTTTTAACTGTGCATACCCAGCGCTGAATATCATATTTTAGCATTTTGTGAAAACGAAATTTGAAACCATCAACTACTTTCAACGTTTTATTCCTTTCACTTTTCATAACGTCCATTTTTATTAAATTGAAAAAAAATATTATTATTATCTACATTGATCAATCAAAGATTAATACATCCGTATTAATTGTACAGCCGACCGGAAATCGGAATATCCCAGGCCGCAATTTACGTACATTTCAAATATACCCGTGCCGCAATTTACGTACGTTTCAAATATATCCCGGACGCAATTTACGTATGTTTTAAAAGTACATGGGCCGCAATTTACGTAGTATATAACTATGACCTTTTTTGTAGGACGCAATTTACCGGCTCCGGATTATAGACGTGTTCTATTTCCAACGTACAGATTAATCTAGTGAAGCGATAAGAACTCTGTAAACAGATTTGAATTTGTCGTCAAGTCTACTTGAGATCGACTTCCCCACATTTTTGATATTATCCCCCAAAAATCATAAAAATGATATATTAAAATGAGTAATTAAAAAATTGCCATATTTAAATTTTTGGAGAAGTTTTAATCAAAATATCAAAAATGTGGGAAAGTCGATCTCAAGTAGACTTTACGACAAATTCAAATCTGT